GTAAACAGGTATGCCAGTAGATATTCAACAATGTTCACGGTTAGATACTGTTGTAAAAGCACGCTTTTATTATATAAAAAACGTTTCATATCTATGTTCTGCTTGTATATTTCATTTCCTGCGTACACATGGTAGCGTTAAAAAAGCGTTTTTGTTTACACATGTATTTCTGCTTGCGTACATAAGACATATGTGTAAATATTTTTTGGTGCTGGCCAGTGTTGGCAATGTGACTCTATGCTGGCGCAGCGATCAAACATCAAACTTTATACATTACCCAACGAATGAAAAATGTTATTCCCTTGAAAATATTCATTTTTTCTACTTTTGAAGTTGCTGACTTGTTCGTGTTCACATGTTAGGTGGCAGCCTCATGACAATTGACCCAAGTGACAAAGGCTATTCACAACGGCAACAATGACAACACCATATTTCATGTCAGTTCAAGCTTTGAACAAAAACCAATGAAAACACACAAACGCAATACCAAATTTCATTTCAAAGGTTCATTTTTTGGTTTTTGGGTTCAAAGTTGTTCAATGTCACGTTTTCAAACCTGTGAAACACGTTGATGTTATCACGATGCTAGCACGAGTCACTTTTGGCTCAAAATAGCTCAAAAAGTACTTTTTGAGATGCCCAAAAATCCCTACAAATTAATCTCCCCACAAGCTGGTCGCCATTCCGAAGTTTGTGATGTACAGAAAAAATTCTCAACATGCAAGATAAAAAGCACATGTGTCAAGATATATATATATATATATAGATAAATAGATAGATAGATAGATAGATAGATAAATACTGGTAAATGATAACAAGAATGCAATATGTAACACTTATTTTGTAGCATCTGGTGTACCAGCTAAAATCAAAGGAAGCGTAGAAGTCTGAAACTCCGCTTCACGAATTCTCAAACAATCGAAGAAGCTCAGCCATCACAATCATCACAATCACCACATCACCACATCACCGCATCACCGCCATTTGCACATCACCACATCAGCGCAATCACCACGACACCACGTCACATCACACCATCACCACATCACCCCATGACAACATCACAACATCACCACGCCATCACCACGCCATCACCACATCCCCACATCCCCACATCCCCACATCCCCACCTCACCACATCACCACATCACCACATCATCACCACATGGCCGTCACCGCAGCAGTTCCATCACCACCATCTCCACATCACCACATCACCGCATCACCACACCACCACCATCACCACCGTCACCACCGTCGCCAAAATCACCACGTCACCACAGCATCTCCACATCGCCACATCGCCGCATCCCCACACCCCCACATCCCCACATCCTCGCATCCCCACATCACCGCAGCAACCCATCACCACATCACCGCATCACCGCATCACCACATCACTGAATCACCACATCACCACATCACCGCATCACCGCATCACCACATGCCCCCATCCCCACATCACATCCCCACATCACATCCCCACATCACACCCCACATCACATCCCCACATCACATCCCCACATCACACCCCACATCACACCCCACATCACACCCCACATCACACCCCACGTCACATCACCACATCACCACATCACCACATCACCGCATCGCCACATCACCATATCACCACATCACATCATCACATCATCACATCAAATCGCATCACATCACATCACATCATCGCCACATCATCACATCACCATGTTTGTGATTGCTGGATATTGCTGGTTGGTTGGTGGGCGCTGGAATTGTTTCGTTTAGGCGACGCTGGACGGTGAGGATCGCAGGAAACTTTTTGTTTTCTCGCACAAATTGGCTCCCGCTGGCGATGTGTGAAAGATGGTGTGTGACAAAGTTGTGTGTGAAAGATGGTGTGTGAAAGATGGTGTGAGTGAAAGATGGTGTACGAAAGATGGTGTGTGACAAAGTGGTGTGACAAAGTGGTCTTCCAGGTGGCTCTGTGTACTGCGCCTGCCACACGAAAGGCAGCCGCGGCCCAGCGGCGGCGATGCGCGCCGCAGCTCCTCCTGGAGTCTCTGTGTACTGCGCCTGCCACACGACAGCCAGCCGCGGCCCAGCGGCGGCCACGCGCGCCGCAGCTTGTCCTGGAGGCTCTGTGTACTGCGCCTGCCACGCGAAAGGCAGCCGCGGCCCAGCGATGAGTGGTGTGATAAGTGGGTGTGATGAGTGAGATGTGAGAAGTGGTGTAGTGATGAGTGGTGTGATGAGTGAGAAGTGATAAGTGGTGAGTGAGATGATGTGAAAAGTGGTGTAGGTGATAGGTGGTGTAGTGATGAGGGGTGTGTGATAAGTGAGATGTGATAAGTGGTGTAGTTGTGCTGGGATGAGTGAGATGTGATAAGTGTTGCAGTGATGAGTGTTGTGTGATGAGGTGGGGACAGGCCGGGCGGACGCGGACGGGGACGCGGCAGCGGCGGGATCCAAGCATAAAACAAGAACCCCACACAGTGATGTGGGGAATAAGATTTTAAGAAAAGGAACATAATTTAAACGAGGCAAATTTTTTGCTATAACACACAAACATGGGTTTGAAACATTTACTATATAACACATGATTTTGGATTTCAATATTCAATATATATATATATATATCTATATCTATATATATATATATATTCAATATATACACATATATATATGTGTAAACCATCTCATTTAACTTCTAATGTAAAACAACACATAGTGAAAATAGACATTAAGTAACATATGATTTAGTAGTTGAAAATACATCACACCTCATGTTATTATTTAATATTGGATTCACCACATATTAATGAAAACAGTATGCAATGCATAGTGTAAATCGTGCAAGGTGTAATGTATAATTCATAATGTAAAATGCATATTGTATCAAGTATGATGTACGCTGTATGATGTATCATGCATCATATAAAATTATTGTGCAAATAAGCTTTGATATATCATGCATTTTATATAAACATATTTTACGAAGTAGTATTTAAGATGCAATGTATCATGTATGTATAATTTTTAACCGTCTGCATAAAAAACAGTACAACGAGTAATCTTTAGTAAGTAACATGTAAGATATATGCATTTATTCAAAGGTATATGTCTTTAATGTATAATGTGCCATGTAAAATACACAATTTATATGTACATGTTTTTTGTAGTATGTAATGTTCAGTATACAGAAAAGGTTCTCAACATGCAAGATAAAAAGCACATGTGTCAAGATATATATATATATAGATAAATAGATAGATAGATAGATAGATAGATAGACAGATAGATAGATAGATAAATACTGGTAAATGATAACAAGAATGCAATATGTAACACTTATTTTGTAGTATCTGGTGTACCAGCTAAAATCAAAGGAAGCGTAGAAGTCTGAAACTCTGCTTCACGAATTCTCAAACAATCGAAGAAGCTCAGCCATCACAATCATCACAATCACCACATCACCACATCACCGCATCACCGCCATTTGCACATCACCACATCAGCGCAATCACCACGACACCACGTCACATCACACCATCACCACATCACCGCCACATCACCACATCACCCCATGACAACATCACAACATCACCACGCCATCACCACGCCATCACCACATCACCACATCCCCACATCCCCGCATCCCCACATCCCCACATCACCACATCACCACATCCCCACATCACCACATCACCACATCACCACATCACCACATCACCACATCACCACATCACCACATGGCCGTCACCGCAGCAGTTCCATCACCACCATCACCACATCACCACATCACCGCATCACCACACCATCACCATCACCATCACCACCGTCACCACCGTCGCCAAAATCACCACGTCACCACAGCATCCCCACATCGCCACATCGCCGCATCCCCACACCCCCACATCCCCACATCCTCGCATCCCCACATCACCGCAGCAACCCATCACCACATCACCGCATCACCGCATCACCACATCACTGAATCACCACATCACCACATCACCGCATCACCGCATCACCACATGCCCCCATCCCCACATCACATCCCCACATCACATCCCCACATCACACCCCACATCACATCCCCACATCACATCCCCACATCACACCCCACATCACACCCCACATCACACCCCACATCACACCCCACGTCACATCACCACATCACCACATCACCACATCACCGCATCGCCACATCACCATATCACCACATCACATCATCACATCATCACATCAAATCGCATCACATCACATCACATCATCGCCACATCATCACATCACCATGTTTGTGATTGCTGGATATTGCTGGTTGGTTGGTGGGCGCTGGAATTGTTTCGTTTAGGCGACGCTGGACGGTGAGGATCGCAGGAAACTTTTTGTTTTCTCGCACAAATTGGCTCCCGCTGGCGATGTGAGGAAATTGTTTGTGCGACGGGTGCCGCTTTCTTTCGTTTTGCGCTCGAGCGGTCCCCATTATCAGCACTGTGCGGAGGTGATCTTTGAAGGATTGAATGCGCTGTGCCAGTGTGTTTAATTAGTGACCCGAGCTTGCATTTTGCACTGGAATGGCTAAACTTCCGTCACCCGGCTTGCCCAGGCTTTGCTGGTATATGATATTTGATATATCACATAGAATGTATTTTTAAATATAGATGATATGTATTAATTATATAACAAATAGATTAGACAGTAGAAACACAGTAGTTCAATATATATATATATTACTGTATTTGATATTATTTCAATTTATATTAAAAAACTAAATCTAGTAATTTGACAAAATTTAATAACCATATATGGTATATAACTTAATGCATATATATATATGTGTATACATGTATATATATACAGATGCAGTACTTTATTTTACATGACCTTGAAATCATAACACGTAAAACATCGAGAACATGTGCAGCCCAAGTGAAATTTATAAAACATTGTAAAACGTGAAAGCACCATGTGCAATCCCAGCGCGGTTCACATCTCGCTGTCCAATTGCCGGACTGCAGGAGTGCTGCAGTGTGAAGGAGCTCACAGAGTGGGCTCAGAGGGAGAAACTCGGCTCTCGGTTCCAGTCAGGCCTTGAGGAGGTGGTGAAACAAGGTGGACTTCGACGCGTCAACGACGCATTTTTGCTGGCGTTGGGCATTCAGTTGCCACCCATGCGAAAAAAGATACTTGGGGCCATCAAGCGGAAACTGATTGGTAGCAGAACAGTGCGCTTCGGGGAAGTGCTGCAGTATGAGCCAATGTTGAAGAACAAACCAAGATTCAGCAAATGCCCCTGGGTGGACCTGGATGAAATAGAGGTCCGGAATGACAAAATGACCTTGAAGGCGGCCATCACGACCTGGCGTTTTTGCGCCACTGGCCTGGATGGTCAAGAAGAGACAGCGCTGAAGGAAAATGCCTTTAACGCTTGGAAACCCAAGCCGAAGGCCGGGAACTGCGTTCTGGGGCGGATTCTCTGGATTCATCTCTTGATTCATGGGATTCTTCACGATTTTTCATCTCCTGCTTCGCGGGACATGTTTGATGCAGCTTCAATACACCGATCATGGCCGTACATGCAGGCCATTCAAGTGTGCGATGAAATGTTGCGAGTGCCATACCGCTGTAGTCATGAATTCTCTTGGAGTTTCAACAACGCGTCCAGTTTCATGCACCCAATGACCCAATGACAAGACCAAGATGATAGTGACATCACAAAATATCACAGTGCTGTCAGGGCATCTGCGAGATCCTCCAGGACTCAGACCTGGGAAGGGACATTTCTTAGACTGAGATTCTGCGTTCAATTTTTTTTTGACAGGACATGCTGGAGGGGCTCGGAGTAGTGGCCTCGGTTTGGATGGTTTTCCCACCAAATGTTCATGTCGACATATTTCTAGAATTTTCATTTTCGAATTTTGCTGACCCGCCGGTGCTTATATTTTCCGCACACCACATTGCTCTTCCGATGACTTGCGACTTGCAGCAGCTTTCCGTTTGCGAGGCTTTCTTCGTTTCAACGCCTTGCTGCTGCAGGCTTGATCTGGGATCGGTGTCTACGAGCAGAAAATGGGAACAGAAATCTGTGGCGAACACAACACAATATAGAAAGATATAGAAATATATAGACATAATTAAAAAATATATATAGACATAAATATAAATATATATAAATATATAGAAATATATAGAATTATATAGACATATATAAATAGAAATATATAGAAATATATAGGAATATATAATAGAAATATAAAAATTACAAAGATTTTAAAAGTACAATGTCGATAGTGTAGAGACAAGGGTAATGTTCCCTACGCAGATTCATTAAGAAGTTGTGTGGATGATTTTGCTTGGTGACTTCAAATCTCTATGCAGGGAGAAGCCTCTGGAGTGAAGTGCTCTGAGGCACCGGCAGCGATGCAGTGTAACCAACAGATAAACACCCCGCAGTTTATGGGATAATATCCGAGGTGACCGTTCATAACTGGACTTGTCATTAAAGTCAACTGTACCACATAGTCCTGGGGACGGTATTTGAGTTTGAACTATTCATTAATATCTTTTGTCAGCATGGCAAACGTTTGAAGACGTTTGATCGTTCGAACCTCAGGAATGCAGCAACTGCCAATGTGAATGGGAGGAAGCGTCCAAAGCTGGCGTGACTTCTATGCAGTGGTTGGGACGGTGCAGTCCTGAGACTCGGTTTAATGGTGAGACAAGATTCCGTCAAGACCAGTGCCCAGATTGTAGGCTTGTGTTCTAAAGCTGTGACACAAGATTGAGAAGCACCATGAAGCACCAGCCACGACATCCTGCTCATGGTGATATTGGATGACACCGGTACACGCTGCGGAAACCTCCTGCAGCGTATCGATTTACTGACTTGAGTGCAAATGCCGAGTTTGAAAGTTCAACCATATGTATCTATATGTCATAAATGGTCACAGTAACGACTACTGTACATGGTCATAAGTCATGAAGCATTAAAATACGTCATCGGCCGGCCATTTTCTGGGACACCTATTACTTGAAAATCCAGTATACTCCGATTTGTTGTGACTGAGCTCGGCAAAGCCAGACGAAATTCTTCTCAGTATGACTCCGACCGGTTGTCGACGAGAAGAAATAGGGTCTGTGAACTGGGAATCCATGCAGCAGAGAAAAAGTTAACGTGCCATAGGTGATGAAGAGGGAAAGAGTCATCATGGATTCCGGGGTGGAATTACAGGTTCTCGTGATCATTGTTCGATTTTTGCCAAGAGGAGGGGAATACCACATGATTGTACAAATGTATGTATATGATTGTATATGTATCCAGGTCAAACGTTACTTCGGGGCTCAATTCGCAATGTTTGCCACACCGGGATGGGTGAATTGGTCTTCCAACCCGAAATCCAGAGTCAGAATTGAATTGTTCTTCCCTTGTCAGGCGAAGTTTTAGAGTTTGAGGTTTGTGGCTGGGGCTTCGGTTTATTAAACCGGTTTAATTTAAAATCAATGCTGGAGATGATTCCCCATGGGCCACAGAATCATGATGTTCAAGCATCCAAATAATGACAGTACTGTAGTTATAACAATAATAGTAAATTTGTAATTACATATAAGTACTAGTAATGATAACGATGGTAGCAACAATATTCATCACAATGATACTACTCCTACTTAAAACACGTGCAACAATGTTCATGACTGTACAAACTCCTCCAGTAAAACCCAGGTTCCATGTACACCATGTGACTACCTTGAAGCGTTGGTTCAAAAGGACTAGCAGCTTAACGGTTAGTTGTTGTATTTACCCCATTCTTGGCTGACCTGGTAAAATACAGGTTATCAGCCGTAGTCTCTACTACTGTGCCATGGGGACCCCATCAGACCTTCCGCTCGCCATCCCAGGGTCAGGTCCACCCGTTGCTGTGCCAAACACAGCCGGAGAAGACTCCGAGCCCATGGATGAAGATGTCATCTATCAACCGGTTGTTGCATAATGTTTGCACCCGATTAAAGAGATGGTACTTTTATGTACTATTGTGAGAAATTTCTTGCTCCTAATTCAGTCACATGCTAATTGTTGGGGGGGGGGCCTCTATTGTGAGATTTTTCCATTTTTTTTTTCAATTTTGATTTTTTCCAAATGCTTTAACTTTATTTTTTTAAAAAACTATTTTTTCTATTTCTGTTTATTTTTAATTCTATTTTAGATGCCTTATCAAACCCTTATTAAAAAAACAGCATCCAGACAATTTTTCAAGGGGGTACCTCATGAGTGGCTCAGTTACTCAATAATATAATTGTTTGGATGGTACTCTTTTGTGAGCACCAACTTTTGGGAGTGAAAAAAAGCAAAACCCTTTCTCCACCTTTCTTTGGGTAAAGCTGGTCCTTTCACTTTAGAAAGCCAAATTTGTGTTAAAACTTTAAAACGCAAGGTTTCCCAAATAATTAGATGCCTTATTAAACCCTTATTAAAAAACAGCATCCAGACAATTTTTCAAGGGGGTACCTCATGAGTGGCTCAGTTACTCAATAATATAATTGTTTGGATGGTACTCTTTTGTGAGCACCAGCTTTTGGGAGTGAAAAAAACGCAAAACCCTTTCTCCACCTTTCTTTGGGTAAAGCTGGCCCCTTTACTGTAGAAAGCCATATTTGTGTTAAAGCTTTAAAATGCAAGGTTCCCCAAATAATTAGATGCCTTATTAAATAAACCCTTATTAAAAAACAGCACCCAGACAATTTTTCAAAGGTGTACCTCATGAGTGGCTCAGTTACTCAATAACATAATTGTTTGGATGGTACTCTATTGTGAGCACCAACTTTTGGGAGTGAAAAAAAGCAAAACCCTTTCTCCACCTTTCTTTGCGTAAAGCTGGTCCCTTTACTTTAGAAAGCCATATTTGTGTTAAAACTTTAAAATGCAAGGTTCCCCAAATAATTAGATGCCTTATTAAACCCTTATTAAAAAACAGCATCCAGACAATTTTTCAAAGGGGTACCTCATGAATGGCTCAGTTACTGAATAGTATAATTGTTTGGATGGTACTCTATTGTGAGCACCAACTTTTTGGAGTGAAAAAAAGCAAAACCCTTTCTCCACCTTTCTTTGGGTAAAGCTGGTCCTTTCACTTTAGAAAGCCAAATTTGTGTTAAAACTTTAAAACGCAAGGTTTCCCAAATAATTAGATGCCTTATTAAACCCTTATTAAAAAACAGCACCCAGACAATTTTTCAAAGGTGTACCTCATGAGTGGCTCAGTTACTCAATAATATAATTGTTTGGATGGTACTCTATTGTGAGCCCCAACTTTTTTTAGTGAAAAAATTGAAAGTAAATTAAAAGTAAATTGAAATCAATTGAAAGTAAATTGAAATCAATTGAAAGTAAATTGAAAGTAAATTAAAAGTAAATTGGAATCAATTGAAAGTAAATTAAAAGTAAATTGAAATCAATTGAAAGTAAATTGAAAGTAAATTTAAAGTAAATTGAAAGTAAATTAAAAGTAAATTGGAATCAATTGAAAGTAAAATAAAAGTAAATTGAAATCAATTGAAAGTAACTTGAAAGTAAATTAAAAGTAAATTGAAATCAATTGAAAGTAAATTGAAAGTAAATTAAAAGTAAATTGAAATCAGTTGAAAGTAAATTGAAAGTAGATTAAAGTAAATTGAAATCAATTGAAATCAATTGAAAGTAAATTGAAAGTAAACTAAAAGTGAATTGAAATCAAGTGAAATCAACTGAAAGTAAATTTAAAGTGAATTGAAATCAATTGAAATCAATTGAAATCAATTGAAAGTAAATTGAAATCCTTTCTTAAGTTGATTGACCAAAAAAATGTTGAGGGGGGGCAAAAAAAAGTGCGAGTTATAGAGTATCCTCAAATTGTTTTGGGGGGGGGCCTCACACTAATCAGATGCAAACATTACTTCACATTCATACAACAGAACCTTTCCCAGATCACCAGTGGAAACACCATCCAGGTCATGAGGGAAGCTGAACAGAGGTATCTCGAGATAATGCAGGGTGTAGTTGATTCAATCAGAAATGAGTGGTCAAACAAACTGGCAAAGGAGGAACGGGTGTATGAGCAAAGGTTGCAAGAGGTTGAAGTGAAAGCAACAGCGGCGTTAGCTGATGAAAGAAAGCGCGGTGGTGAATTCGAGGTCAGATGGAATCAGGCTCGTGCTACAGGTGATGCAAAGGTTGAAGAGTTCAAGGCAGAGGCAAATGCAAGGCATGATCAAAAGATCATTGAGGAGAGGCAACGCATCACAAAGGAATTCGAAGCCTCATACGCCCAAACGGTAGAACATGCTAGAAATGCCTACATTGCCGCGAAGAAACAATGCGAAGAACAAGCTGCCATAGAGCAAGCCTGATACATTCAGATCAAAGCAGAGTTTGAAACATATAAGCGGGAAATGTCGGAAAAGCTCAATGAAGCGGCACAAAACCTTAGCCTTCAGGACCTCGATGACTTGCTGAATCATATTGCCAAAGCACAGTCAGCTGTAGTTCCGAAAGCATCCGTCCAAAGCGCTCAGCCAGCCACCATCGCTGGTGTGCCGAACTTCAATATCAGCACTCCGAGAGCACCCGATGCATCCGCCAATAAAGCAGATGAAGAGCCGATCATGGAGATTAAGTCGCCCGGCGTGTTGGCGCAAGAGGCCAAGGCTAGAATGGACGAGCTGCTCAAAGGTAGCAGTACTCCTCTTGAGCCAGCTGGTGGTAACACCAAGCCTCAGTTGCCGATGCAGTCAGGGTTCATGACACCAACCGAGCCAATCAAGACTCCCCCAAATTAAATGATTCCCCAAAGAGTGTTGGCAAACAACAACAAGCGATGGGAGCTTCAGATCTGATTGAATTGGTGAAAGCCTTAACCCAAAGGGATGAAAAGGATAAACCAAAGACTGAATCATATGCCAGCTCCGGAATCATATAGAAATTGGAAAGATCACATACGGGATGAAGTGTGAAGCCGTTCTGATCGTCCAGACGAAGCATGGGCTTGGCTGAACGAGGTGTACGATCAGTCTTGCACCCGTGAACAGCTTGAGCAGAAGCTCCAGGATCCTGGGAAATTCCTGACGCTGGATATACAGCTATCAGCA